TCAGCGGAGGCCCTGCGTCCAGAGGAGGAGGACGGCATGCGCCTGATGTTGCCAAAAGGCGCGCGCGTCCGCTGCCTCTGTCTTTTCTAGTGAGCCCGAACAGTGCTTGTGCTCGCCGCGTCGCTTCGCCCCGGGCGCTCACTGTTTGGTTTTCTGCCAGGCACCTTCTCACTTAAACGGGGGGGGGCCACAAGAGCAGGACAAATCAACGAATCGACACCAGATGTGTATTAACTTGACACCGGATGTGTATTCACTTGACACGTTCTGATAAGGGGGCCTCTCAGAGCTCCGAGTTGCGGGTGCCTCCTGGTGCCTCCTGGGGCCTCCTGGGGACCTCCTGGGGCTTCCTCCTGGGCCTCCTGTGGCCTCCTGAACTCCACCTGGGGTTTCCTGAAGCCTCTTGGGGCTCCCAGGGGGGATATCTAACCTGTGGCCGTTGGGGCCTCTCAAAATGGAGGGGGGGGCACAAGAGCAGGAAAAATCAACGAATCGACACCGGATGTGTATTAACTTGACACGTTCTGATAGGCGGCTGGGGCCTCCTGGGAGCCTCCTGGGAATCTCCTGGGGACCCCTGGGGCCTGTCCTGGGCGTCCTGCGGCCTCCTGGACCTCTCTGGGGCCTCCCCCTCCTCCTGCCTGCTCCCTCATGCACATCATCCGCCTCCTCCTTCTCCCTTCCATCTCCTCCTCCTCCTCCTCCTCCTCCTCCACCTCCTCTTCATCCCGAACGGCATCTCGGAGCCTAGAGTTGCGAGGATGTCTCCAGCGTAACGGGCTGGACCACCTCGCGCGCGGCATCTCGGACCCCAGAGTTGCGACGATGTCTCGGGCGAAACGTGCTGCGAGGAAGTCTCAGGCGAAACGGGCCGGACCACCTCGAGCGCGGCGTCTCAGAGCTCCGAGTTGCGGGGTGCCTCCTGGGGCCTCCTGGGACCTCCTGGAGCTTCCTCCTGGGCCTCCTGTGGCCTCGTGAACTCCACCTGGGGTTTCCTGAAGCCTCTTGGGGCGCCCAGGGGGGGATATCTAACCTGTGGCCGTTTGGGCCTCTCCAAATGGAGGGGGGGGCACAAGAGCAGGAAAAATCAACGAATCGACACCAGATGTGTATTAACTTGACACCGGATGTGTATTCACTTGACACGTTCTGATAAGGGGGCCTCTCAGAGCTCCGAGTTGCGGGTGCCTCCTGGTGCCTCCTGGGGCCTCCTGGGGACCTCCTGGGGCTTCCTCCTGGGCCTCCTGTGGCCTCCTGAACTCCACCTGGGGTTTCCTGAAGCCTCTTGGGGCTCCCAGGGGGGATATCAAACCTGTGGCCGTTTGGGCCTCTCCAAATGGAAGGGGGGGCACAAGAGCAGGACAAATCAACGAATCGGCACCGGATGTGTATTAACTTGACACGTTCTGATAGGCGGCCTGCTGGGAGCCTCCTGGGAATCTCCTGGGGACCCCTGGGGCCTGTCCTGGGCGTCCTGCGGCCTCCTGGACCTCTCTGGGGCCTCCCCCTCCTCCTGCCTGCTCCCTCATGCACATCATCCGCCTCCTCCTTCTCCCTTCCATCTCCTCCTCCTCCTCCTCCTCCTCCTCCTCCTCCTCCTCCTCCACCTCCTCTTCATCCCGAACGGCATCTCGGAGCCTAGAGTTGCGAGGATGTCTCCAGCGTAACGGGCTGGACCACCTCGCGCGCGGCATCTCGGACCCCAGAGTTGCGACGATGTCTCGGGCGAAACGTGGTGCGAGGAAGTCTCAGGCGAAACGGGCCGGACCACCTCGAGCGCGGCGTCTCAGAGCTCCGAGTTGCGGGGGCCTCCTGGTGCCTCCTGGGGACCTCCTGGAGCTTCCTCCTGGGCCTCCTGTGGCCTCGTGAACTCCACCTGGGGTTTCCTGAAGCCTCTTGGGGCTCCCAGGGGGGATATCTAACCTGTGGCCGCTTGGGCCCCTCAAAATGGAGGGGGGGGCACAAGAGCAGGAAAAATCAACGAATCGACACCGGATGTGTATTAACTTGACACGTTCTGATAGGCGGCCTCCTGGGGCCTCCTGGGAGCCTCCTGGGAATCTCCTGGGGACCCCTGGGGCCTGTCCTGGGCGTCCTGCGGCCTCCTGGTGCCTCCTGGTGCCTCCTGGGGACCCGGAGCTTCCTCCTGGGCCTCCTGTGGCCTCGTGAACTCCACCTGGGGTTTCCTTGAGGCCTCTTGGGACTCCCAGGGGGGATATCTAACCTGTGGCCGCTTGGACCCCTCAGAATGGAGGGGGGGGGCACAAGAGCAGGAAAAATCAACACATCGACACCCGATGCATATTAAATTGACACGTTCTGATATGGGGGCCTCCTGGGGCCTCCTGGGAGCCTCCTGGGAATCTCCTGGGGACCCCTGGGGCCTGTCCTGGGCGTTCTGCGGCCTCCTGGACCTCTCTGGGGCCTCCTGAGGCTCGCAGGGTCCCATGGAGGATATGTAACATGTGGTCTGCTGGGCCCCCAGGCCCACCTCTTGCGCAGCATCTGAGAGCTCAGAGTTGCGAGAATGTCTTGTGCGAAACAGGGCGGACCACCTTGCGCACGGCATCACAAAGCTCAGAGATGCAAAGATGTCTCAGGCAAGACGGGCCGGACCACCTCGCGCAGGGCATCTCAGAGCTCAGAAGTTCGAAGATGTCTCAGGCGAAACGGGCCGGACCACCTCTCGCGCGGCATCTCCGAAGTCAGAGTTTCGAGGATGTCTCAGGCGAAATGGGCCGGACCACCTCGCGCAAGGCATCGCAGAGCTCAGAGTTTCGAGGATGTCTTAGGCGAAACGGCCCGGACCACCTCTCGCACGGCACCTCGGGGCTCAGAGTTTCGAGGATGTCTCAAGCGAAACGGCCCGCACCACCTCTCGCGCGGCGTCCCGGAGCGAACTTTTGGAGCGAACTTTTTGAGGATGTCTCAGGCGAAACGGCCAATCCCGGCCAACTCAGAAACGAGAATTGTGAGGATGTCTCAAGCGAAACGGCCAAAACCATAAAATTTGTGTGAGGATGTCTCTGCTCAGCGTTCCCTCGGCCGGAGTTAGTTTCTATCACAACAGCACCCCGTTCAGCAAGCTGTTTGGGGAACAATTTCGCCCACGGGAGCTCCAGAATTTGTCGAGAACTCACACCAATCAACGTCGCGGGAGGCCAAATAGGGACCGGGACACAAACGGGCCAGGACACATCGGGGGTTTCTGAAATCCGGTAATTCTGAAGGATGTGTTGGGCCTGGCGGCCGTTCTAGAGCGGTCCGGAACGCAACGAGAGCGTTCTGAGAAGGTCTGCAACGATCTATCCTGCCCTGCCCGATCTCCGCCTCAGGGCAAGAGTGATGTGATTATGCGATTGGATCAGCATGCCTTCCAGGAACCGGGGTGCATCTAGCGGCCCTGATTTCTGGAGCCCGTGCGGGAAAAATCTGGGAAATCCTGGAGCGCATCACTATCATGGCTTCTTGCCCCGCCCAGCGAGAAGAATAGGACGACGACGACTACTGCTACAACAGCAACAACAACAACTACTACAACAACTACAACAACAACTACTACTACTACCACTACTACTACTACTACTACTACTACTACTACTACTACTACTACTACTACTACTACTACTACTACTACTACTACTACTACTACGACTACGACTACGACTACGACTAATACTACTACTACTACTACTACTACTACTACTACTACTACTACTGCTACTACGTCTACTACGACTCTCTCTAACGACTACTACTACTACGTCTACACTACTACTACTACTACTACTACTACTACTACTACTCTACGACTACTACTCGGCTACTACTACTATCTACTGCTGCTGCTGCTCTACTTCTACTACTACTACTACTGCTGCTGCACTACTACTACTACTACTACTACCTACTACTACTAGTACTAGTACTCGACTACGACCTACTACTACACTACGACTACACTACTACTACACGCCTACTACTACTACTACTACTACTACTACTACGACTACTACTACTACTACTACCTACTCTACTCCTACTACGACTACTACGACTACTACTACTACTACTAATACTACTACTACGACTACGACTACGACTACGAACTACACTACGACCACGCTAGGACGTATGAACTAAAACTCGAACTAGGACTAGGACTCCTACGAACTTACGCTATCGACGACTACGACTACTACTAACTACTACGACCTACTACTACGACTGGCGACTACTACACTACTTACGACTACTACGAACTCTACGACTACTACGACTACTACTACTAATACTGCTGCTGCTGCTACTGCTCTGCTAAGAAACTACTATACTACTACTACTACTACGACCTACGACGAACTACTACGATACTACGACTTCTACGACTACTACTACGACTACGACGACTACGACTACGACCCACGACTACTACTACTACTACTACTACTACTACTACTACTACTACTACTACTACTACTACTACTACTACTACTACTACTACTACTACTACTACTACTACTACTACTACTACTACTACTACTACTACTACTACTACTACTACTACTACTACTACTACTACTACTACTACTACTACTACCTACCACTACCACTACCACTACTACTACTACTACTGCTACTACTACTACTACTACTACTACTACTACCAGTACTAGTACTAGTACTAGTACTAGTACTACTACTACTACTACTACTACTACGACTACTACTACTACACGAATAGTAATAATGATACCGATACTAACAATGAATTTAATACTACTACAAATCGTACCAATAATGCTACGACTACTAAGTATGTGAAATACACTGCTGCTATTAACAATGCCCAAGCTAGTGTTCAAACATATGACGATACTAATAACATTACAAAACCAATAATAGCATCAAAACAACAATACTAAACAACAAAATAGAAGAAGCCACATACACGGAACAACAATCACAACATGGATACGAAGAACAATACCACGAACAACACATAAGATCATTAAGGTCAGCTGCGAGGTGCGAACCGATCGTGCCGCGGGCCAGAGCTGTAAACAACACGGCAGACATCCGATCCAGAAGAGAGCCGCGCCATGCACAGCTGCAAGCGGGCCTCACGACGTGCCGCGGCGGCAGGGTCGGCTGCCCCGTGGACCGCGACCCAGACATGCTCGCGCCGCGGAAAAAAAACACGACGGACAATGTTTGGCAGTTTTCGGCCTCGAGGGGCCTTCGCCAAGCCCTAGGACCGTCAACACAACGACTCAGGATGAAGAAGTGGCCCTGGGGGTCGGGACTTTCAGCGACCCCGTACTGCAACAATCAAGACATCGCATGCCTGTGTGGGTAAGATGTGACGTTATATGATGCCTGTGGCCTTTCGTGGATCCTCGTTGCTGTATGGCTTTCGAGAGCGTCGCTTCCGTATTGCCGCACAGGTGTGGGTCGAGGCAGATGTGGTTCACCGCGGCAAGTGTGATGCCATGGTCTCGTGGCCACCAGCCCTCACAACTTTCGAAAATAATCAAATTCACTGTGCAAAAGGCTCTCCGACAATTGTATCTCTGAACCTGCATCAGGCGGTGAAACGTGCAAGTCTGAACTGACTGTCTACGACCGCATCGGCAACCGTGGCCGGATGCCACATCTTGCCCGCGTCGTTCTGGGCGTGCATTCTGTAAACCAGAGCAAATTACATTACACCGTTGCGCCGTAAACCCAGGTGCGGACATTGGACACCTATTCGGCAAAGAAAACAGCTTCACGCGCAAAACGACGAATAGTGCATGCGCCCGTACGGCTTCACTCTATATCGCTGGTGCTGTAAGGCTGGCAGGCAGGCCTGGACGATCTCGGCTTCTTGAGAAAGAAATCCTGCACCACGATCTGGAATGTGTCACCAAACGCGGGAAAAATTAAGACAGCAAATATCATCTTCTGCAACTCGCTGTGGAGGTGCAGTACGGTGAACACGCCAGCAAAAAATATATACATCATATCTTGAGTGAGGAACATATATGTTGTTACGACAAGCCGAACAGCAGTAATAATTCCAATCCAGATCCCAACCTGCAGCAACCACGCGCTCAACGTGTCGACATTTAAAATGGGTGCATGAACATATTTGCTCTCAATGAGGCCGTCCTTGCTGCCGGCAGCATCATTGCCAACTGCTGTTGGCACAAGACCCTGTTGCTCACCCTCGTAATTGCCCACGTCAACTCCACAGCGCTCCAGAAGAACAGGGCGGGCGGCCTTCATCGCTCCCCAGCAAAAGAATGTCGTGAGGAAACAATCCGTCACGATACCCTCCAAATACCAGACGCACTGGTCGACCCTGCCGCTCCGCGCCGTCAGAACCCTTGCCAAGAACTCGGCCTGGGCTATGTTGTAGAACTTGCCATACTCAAGACATCATAAAGAACTGCATGCACATAACCTTTCGGAGGTCCGCACAGATTCTTGCACTGGCGCTGGGCCTCCTGTCTGGCGCCCCGAGCGCGCCAGGGTCGGCGGCGGCAGCGCCGCCACGGGGGCACAGCGCGGATCCAAAAACTCCGCGTGGACCTCCGAAGGCTTATGTTTACGCCGTCGTTTATCCCTCGGCATACGCAGCTCCGACCACCTGCTTGGACACGTCAAGCGCCCAGACGAGAAACGGCCTGCGCGGAGACTCGCACCCCCAGACCGCCAACATAGCCGCAGCGCACACGCCTGTGATCGCCAGCTGAACGGCGATCCCGACTGGGCCCAGAAGTTCGCATGAAGCTGACTCATCGGATAGTTTCCGCATTGCTGCACCGCTCTGCGCGATTTGGCGCGCGAGCCCGAGGGGCAACGTTAGGGGAGACCAGCTCAGGTGGGAAACGTCGAGCTGCAATCGGCAATATGTCGCCCACAGATCTGCGATAGGCCCCCGATACAAACCATTGCGATGGAGCGCCCCCACACGGGGATCTGTTTAGCTTGCCTGGGGATCTCCTCCTGCCTCCTCCCTCTCCTCTTGCCTCATACTCCTGAATCCGCCTCTCCTCCTCCTCCTCCTCCTCCTCCTCCTCCTCGTCCTCGTCCTCCTCCTCCTCCTCCTCCTCGTCCTCCTCCGCTTTCCTTCCTTCATTCCGCTCGGCTTGACGCGGCCCGCAACGTCGGGACCGCGCGGCCGGCCGGGCCGCCCGGCTCGGCCCGTTCATTCCGCGGGCGGCCTCCGAGTGCCTGCCACGCGGCGACCCTCCCCGCGGCCGAGGGCGCGGAGGGTGACGCCCGACTCTATGCGGGGGGCGCCCGCCCTCCATTACTACCTCGGGGAGGGGTCACTCGGGCGGCCCCCCCAGCACGTAGCTGGCGGAGTGCCGCGCGAGGGCTGCCCCCGGCAGCCCCGTTGTGGTGAGCGGGTTGCTGCGTGGCGGGCACTCGGCCCGGAGCGGAGAAGCGTATACGGCGCAGCGGGCCCGGGGCGGCCAGCGTTAGGTCGCTTTTCAAATCGGCCCCGAAGGCGGGACGGCGGGGGCCCAGGCCTAGGGCCGCAAGGCGGCCCAGGGGGGGCCGCGGCCCGCCTGGGTCAGGCGTGCCCTAAGCGGTGCTTAGGGTGCCCCTGCCAGGCGGCCCGCATGCGGGGGCGAGGCGGCCCCGCGGATGCCGCGGCGAAGCAAGCGCCAGGGGCAACGGGGCCGAGCAGGGGGCGGGGGGTCTGGGGACTCTGCACCTGTCCGCTCCAGCTGGACCTAATTACTGCCGCGCCTCCTGCAACGCAACCTCGAGGCGGCGTGCCTCCCGCGGCGACGGGCCGGCGGCCGGGGCGAGCGGCCGCCCGCGGGCCGCGGGGGGGCGCGGCCACGGCTGGGCCGGCCGTCTGAGGACCTGCGGCCTGGCGGACCTGTGGACTCCGAAGCGGAAAAAAAACACGCGGTGGCCACGGGCTTGACACATGACGTTGGGGGGGACGCTATACCTGGCAAGACAGGCGTCACGGGGCTGCGGTAATAGCGAGCCAGCAACTTGTTCCGACGCACGAGCTGCCCCACCGCGTCGAACAGCAGAGGAACGCGCGAAGTTGGCTGCGTCGATGTAGCAGCCCGTGTGGGAACCGACTCGATATGCGGCAACCTCGGAGCTGTCGGTGCAGAGCATCCACTGCGCAGTCCGCGACCATGCCATTGACAGACGCACGACTATGCCATCCTGGTACTCTGACGGGAACACGCACCATTGCTGCCGAAACCAATGGGCGATGGGCATCATTGGGCAACGTCGCGAGCCCGTCGGAGCCGACAGAGCCCAGACGCAGCCAAGAGTAGACATGTAATGATTGATTTGGTTTCTGCACGCGCACCTCCTCGATTGACTGACGCGAGCAACGCGTCGACAGACGCTGCCCACGCTGCTAAAGGTTCGCAGAATCGTCTGCTTGTATACACGAGTCACACGCAGGCTCGGTGCTGATGGGCATCTGAAGACCAAGCGCATCCGTGGGGGCTCGGGATGGCAAACAACATAATCATCGGGTGGTGGCCATCAGCGGCGCGTGGAGGCTGCCTGACGCACTGCGTGTACACTGCCACGGCATTGCAAAACTGGCAGACTGGAGCTCTCAACGGGCCGTCGCCGTAGACTGGGCCACCGAGGAACTGATGATGGTCCCTTTCCACTGTGCACAGTGTTCAGTTTGCAGCGCCTGGCATGGCTCGCGCGAGACCGAACCTTGCGCGGTTGAGCGTCTGTGCCCGCGCGGGCTCCTGAGCTACTGGGCACTATAGTTTCAGGGGCCCGAATCTCACTGCAAAACATACAGAGTCGAGCGTCGCATAGTATACAAATGCTGACGCTCTGTTTTTCTGTCGCATCGGAAATATCATGTCTAAGACGACGCGCAACATGATGATGGACGGTGCTGATGATGATGATGACGACGAAGATTATGACGATGGCGATGGTGATGCTGATGATGATGCTACTGGTTGTGATGCTGATCATGATGGTTACGGTAATGACGCGGATGATGATGCTGAGGTAGAGCCCCCTCCCCGAGGCAAGACGTTTGCGGCAGCAGCTCGACCTTTCTTCCTCGGTTTGACGCATCAGCACCTTGCGGCGAAAGCGCGTGCAAACAGCGGGAGACGAGAGGCGTCGCCTCGCCTGCTAATGTCATTGACCTCAATGAACAAGCGCGCTCAATTCGGGAGGTTGCGGGGAGGGGAACTTCGGGTGGAGTGTACAGTCGAGCGCAAGCGGCCACATTCGGGGGTAGCTACCAGCGAGACAAATGTCGCGTTTAGGTAGAGCCCCCTCCCTGTGGCCAGACGTTTCCAGCATCAGCTCGACCATTATGTTTCCTCGGTCTGATGGATTAGTGCCTTGCAGCGAAAGCTTCTCGGCGAACGCGCGCGCGAGCAGCAAGAGACAAGAGGCCTCGCCCCACCTGCCATTTCGGCGTGCCCTGGCCCCCTGGCCGATGTCAGCTAGCAAAACAACATCCGCAGGAACCCTCAGAGAGCGCTGGGCACCCCGTCGAGCGCCGGGAAGAACCAACGGGCCCCAGGATGGATTGGGAGGGCGGGTGGGGTCCAAGAAGAGGGTCCCAAATGGCCCCGGGCGACCCCCAAAACCCGCGAAAATGGGATGCCGACCCCCCCCCGCGCCCCCTCGGCGTGCCGGGGTGCACTCGGTGCACCGAGGGCGGGAGGGGGGGGCGATGTGTAATTTGATATTGTTTTTGGGGGTCAGGGCCTCCCGTCCCACGGGCCAGAAACCACGCCGCCTTGCAGCGCGAGGCTCTGCAGACGGGCGGCGGCCAAGCAGTCGGCACCACCTTGCATCCGCCAAGCGAACTTTTCCAATAGCCATCGTTCACAAATACCAGCCTGGTGCCAGAATGCACGCGCGCGCGAGCATCGTCACATGCGAAGCTACATCGCGCGGCAAAAGCATTGAGACATTCGTGCACAGCCAGCGCGCGACTTTGCTGCGGGCAGGGCGAGACTCGAGAATGGCGATCCGACGATGCGCAATGCGACAACTCACGCACATTTGGCCGCCTGGGCAGGGCACTGGCTTCACGGGCGCACGAGCACACGCGGGCATTCAATGGCAACGGCTTTGACAGACACCTGCAGCAGCTGCTGCGCAATATCAAGACAAGCAATGGCATTGCATGGCAGCGCGACGACCAGGCCTCGGATCACGCGCGAGGCCAACCAGCCGATCAGGCGTCGCCGAGTCAGTGGCGAGCAGAACAGGTCGGCGTGAATCCAGCCCGCACGTTGGCCGTCACGCGTGGGAAGATGAGCGGCTACCTCCCGCTCCCGATCCCCAGGTGGAGTTGCGCCCTGTCGACGATCGGCGCGCGGCGAAGCCGCCGCGGCTTGCGCGCGGTCGCTTGCGCGGCGAGGCGCGCCTTCGCGGCTGGGCAGGCAGGCTGCCCCGCCGGCGCAGCGCCGGCCGCAGCTGCTGCCCCGCCGCGTCGGGCGCGGCGTCGAGGAGGCGCAAGTGCTGGACGTGCTTGCGGTACCTGAGAGTCGAAGCAGGATGGGCGCGGCGAAGCCCCTCCTGCGCCGCCGCCAGGTCGAGCCCCTCCACCGCCGCCGCGCGTCTCGCCGCGCCACGGCGCACCTGGTGCGGAACGGCCGCGGGCGCCTCGGGCAGCTGCTCCAACGGGCAGGCGAACCTCTGGGAGAAGCTGCTCGAGCTGAAGCTGAACCAGCGCTCTCCGCGGGGCCTCGTCGCCCGCTGCAGGGCCATCGTGCGGTCCGGCCCCTCCGCCCAGCAAGCGCGCCGGAGCAGCGCCCCCTCGTCGTGGGGCGCGCTCTTGCCGCGAACGCTGCCTTCCTCGGGGTAGAGAAGAAGGCCCCAGCGACGCGTCGGGCCGCGGCCCGGGCCCGCCGCCAACGTCGCGAGAAGCGCGGCCAAGTCGCTGGGGGGCCGCAGCCAGGCGCCCCGCCCGAGGAACAGCGCTCCACGATCGCGGGCCCGATCGCGCCGAGCACCCAGGGCTTGGCCAGAGGCAGACGAGACTGGCTGTGGGCGTGGGCCCTGAAGCCCGCCAGAGCCGGTCGCGCCCCGGGGGGGACATCGAGCCCCCGGCGGCCCAGCCTGGGGCAGCGATGGCAGACGGCTGCCGGCGGGCGGGACTTCACCTCAGCCTGGTAGCCCGATCAGTAGAGGTCGTCGAAGTGCTCCGCCAGCCTCCTGTCGAGCCTCGCCACGGGCATCACGCGGAGGTCGCTGGTTCCTCACTTGCCGAGCAGCGCGATGACGCCCCTGTCGTAGCTCGCCTGCACTGGCCTTCCGACCTCGAAGCGTTGCTGCAAGAACGTGGGCCCATGCTGCTCATCCTGCAGGTCGATGCCATGGCGCGCCAGGCGGTCGAGGGCTCGGCGCTCTCGAAGTAGACCGGCTCGCCGCCGAATGGCATGGGCACTCCCCATCAGCTGCGGCGCCCCAACCCTGGCTGTCCTCGCCGTCGCTGCTCGAGCTGGAGTCGTCGCCAAAGGCAGTGGCCAAGCAGGGTGCCGAGCCGGCTGCGAGACCAACGTCGTCGAGATCGGCCGCTCCCGCATCGCGGCAAGCCGTCGGCTCGTCGCCGCGGCTCTGCTCGGCGCCGGGGGCGAGGGCGCCTGGCCCGCGGCGCCGCTCGTCGACGGTGCTCCGCAGCTCCTGCTCGAAGGCCGCGTCAACGCACGCCCCGTGGCAGGCGGCAGCCTCGGGGGCGGAGTAGCGCGGGAAACGGGCGTGATCGGCGGCGGGCCGCGCGAGCATGCGTGAGAGTCCATCGGCGCTGTTCTGCTCGGAAGCGAGCCAGCGGGTAGCTGCGTGCACGTCGCAGAGAATGGGCGAGCCTGTCAGTTCTCGAATCTTCTGATTCACGGCTGGAGCTGAATATTTTCCTTTGGCCAAAGCTAGCACCACTGACATACTGTCGCACGACGCGAGCAACCCGCGACCGTGGCAGCTCAGGGCGCGCGCTCGATGCCTCAGGGCCGTCGCCAGGGCGCGGCCTTCCAGCCGCGGGGCCCCCTCGGGGCGCCCCCACCCGCCGGCGAAGGCCGTCTGCCAAGAAGACCTGGGCAGCAATAACTCCAGGTCCAGATCATCGAAGTCGATGCCTTTTGTACGGGGCGCTGCCTTCGGCGCGGCAAACGGCCGAGGGTCGTCCGCGCCCCCCCCCGACAAAAAAAAACAGAGCACGGGCGCCGATGGCCTCTCCGCAGCATGCCGCCAGCACCCCGAACGAGCCGCAGCGCCCCAGACTGCGTCGGCTCCCCAGCGCTTCGCTGTGACGCCGCAGCCGCCGAAGTCACCCGCGCGGCCCGCTGCGGCCCCCTGGAGCTGACCGCCAGGCGCAAGGGCCACCTCGCGCCCAAGCGCGCGCGACGAGGGCCGACGCCGCGCGCAACTCGGCGCCGCACTCGCTCCAGAGGCGCGCGCGGCTGCCTTTGGCCTCGGCAGCGAAGCGATAGCGGGCGCTGAAGACGCGCAGGAGATAACGCCGCAGGAGGACTGCCCAACTGCAATGCCACAGCGCTCGGAGAATTTGGCCCCCGCTGCAGCGGCGCTGGGCGGCCAGCTCGCCGCGGCCGGGCGGCCGATGGCGACGCGCGCCCCGAGCTACTGTCGAAGGTCAGGCCAGTGAACCTGGACAGGCCCAGGAGGCGAAGCGCCTTTGCAACGGGGGCGTCGATGGCGTGGTCGAAAGCGCCGCGCTCCTCCCCGATGGCGACCGCCCCGCCCGCGTTGGCGGCCGCGGCTGGCTTCCCTCCGACAGGGGGCACCGCGCGGCGGTCGTTCGCCATCCGGGAAGCCGCGGCCCCCGCCCGCTGGATTTCCGCCTCGACGGGGGACTGGCAGGAATGCAAACTCCAGTTCCAGCCCATGGGGTGAACGCGCGAGGTAGCGGGCGCATATCTTCCAGCCCCAGGAGGAAGCACCAGTCCAGGACGTTCGCGATACGAGCCCTCAGCACGTAGACGGGGGAAGACGAATGACCGCTGGGCGCCTTTCGGGCGCGAGATGCGGTAGAAGGCGGCCTCAATATTCACCTGCGCCAGCAACGGCGGCCGCGACGCCGAGGTGCGGATGGTGCTCCAAGCTCCCGCGCTCGGTAGGTTGGCCATCTCCGGCGCGACGAGCTCCTGGTTCACCAGACAGGTGTCCAGGATCATAGGCAGGCGTCCGCGCCAGTAGTCTTGGCGACAAAGAGCAGGCCCAGCGTTGACTTCTGTTCCACCTCGAACTCAATCGCGCCTGCATCCAGCAGCCGCGGCAGAAATCGAGCGTAGGCTGCCGGGTCTCTCCTCAGGGCGTCGTCAAAATGAAAGCGAATGACAGCGCGCACTACGCGGGGA